TATATATATATATGTTAGTCTCTGAGGTGCCACAAGATTACTTGTTTTCAAAGTTACAGACTGACACAGCTAGATAAATAGACTAGATAGATAGACTGATAAATTATAAAACACTATATATATATATATATATATATGTTAGTCTCTGAGGTGCCACAAGATTACTTGTTTTCAAAGTTACAGACTGACACAGCTAGATAAATAGACTAGATAGATAGACTGATAAATTATAAAACACTGGGAATCTGACACAGTGGTTCTGTTTGCAATGCCTTGGTGTTTCTTCTCTTTAATAATACGGATGGGTGACGCATTTGATAAGATGAGAAAATGCCTGTCTGAAGTTAGGTGCCAAGTGCAGGAAAACTCTTAAGTACTGTATGAGTTTAAATTTAAGTAGCTGAGTAATTCATTCCCTATTCAGTAATTAAGCTCAGATTAGATGACTTGGGTCTTTTGGATCTCTGAGTCCTATGATTCCTATGCACAGGTACCTGCAATGGGAGGGTAAATATGTCGGCTTACCTTAGACATAAGTTTCAATATGCTAAAAACGGTGCCACTAACTCACGATGTTCCTTACTATGAATGAAGAGGTGGCTTGTAGGATTCCATATGGCTGTGCTGCCTGGTTTTGTGAAGTGCTGACAGCTACAGCAATGGGTGGTCAGTGAGCACTTCATAAGATTAGTTCCATTAACAATTATGATGGCTCCTCCATGTATTACCAAGGGTCCTTTGCCATAGATTTGTCAGAAGCAGCACCCAGCAATGTAAGCTCCTGGAAGCATTAATATTTCCAGACTGTCCAGAAACTCACAGGCAGCTTAAATAGCTCTGTCACTTTGCATAGTCCCACCCTGTGCCATTGCCTTACTGCAGTGAGCAGTCAGTATAAATCCATCAATCTGCACCACATAGTTCATTAGGGTGTTTCTAGCAAGCCAGGTGGCAGGCAACATGACATCAGAGACGCTACTTCTGTTAATGCTCTCGCTGTGGATCCAAGGTAAGAAGGATAATGAACATGTGAAGTGTGGTGACCATTCATTGGTCCAGCTGCTCTTGTGCTGAATTTTTGGTAGGTTAAACTTCTAGAACATTCAAATTTTTGCAGAGTGAACTTCCTAGGCCTTTGTGACACATGCACATTTTCTTTCCACCTCTAGATACCAGAGGGCAGGTTGTGGTGACTCAATCTCCAGAGTCTCTGTCAGTCTCCATTGGAGAAACTGTTACTATCAAATGCAAGTCAGATACAGACATTGATGATGACATGAACTGGTACCAGCAGAAGTTTGGAGCTGCCCCAAAGCTCCTTCTCTCTGAAGGGTCTGCTCCAGATTTCACGTTCACAATCAGCGGCGTTGAAGTGGATGATGCTGGAGATTATTACTGTCAGCAAAGTGACCGTACCCCGCTCACAGTGATACAGACCAATACAAAAACCTCTCCTGCTGCACAAGGTACTCTGCTCAGGCCAGCTGCTCAATAGCAGTTATGCAGAGGGTATTTCTCGCTCTACAGCACTTCCCTGCTCAGTCAGGCACATGCAATAAACCACATCCCATTTTCCATATTTGCTCTCACACCCTCTCAGCTCTGTGTAGATATTCTCCCTGCCCCAAAGTCATTTTCCTGGAAAGAGCTGGGATTTTAGCCTCTTTAGATAGGAGACAGTGCTTCACATGGGGAAACAAAGTAACTGATATTTATGAAGAACCTCTCTACTTTGTTGCTTAAATTAACCAATAATCAGGCAACTTTGTAGCTAGGGTATGTTGGGGGAGATCTGAGATGCATGGCTATGCACTAATAACGGACTCCACTCTCAGGAAATGTGCATGTGGTTTATTTGAAAGTGCAAGCTCCTACACCTCTCTGCAGTCTAGGAGAGACTTTCCCCAGAGCTTCATTCTCTCCCGTGGGACACTAAGCACCAGAGCCACCACCACAGCTCTCCTTGCATATGCCAGGGCCTGGTCTCTCTGTGACATAAGGGTAATTGTCCCAAAGGGAGATGGGAGGGATGGGGCAGAGGTGGGAGCAGGCTGGTCGTGCCCAAGGGAAAGGCTGGATCACTTTATGGGTGCCCCTAGACTACATTCCTCTTTCGAAAGAGGCATTTAAATGAAGAAAATTGAAAATGCAAATGAAGTTCAGATTTACAAATCTCATGCTTCATTTGCATAACTGCATCTGATCGCTTTTTCGAAAAAGATTTTTTCAAAAAAATAAGCAATCTAGATGTGTTCCTTAAAAAAAAAAAAAAAGCCCTTTTTTGAAAGAACCCTGTAAACATTATTTTTTCAGGAATAAGAGTTATTTCTAAAAAGGGTTTTATCCCAAAAGAACTGCATCTTGACTGCTTTTTTTTCCCAATAAAATCCTTTTTCAAAATCCATTGGACAAATTTATGCAAATGAAGCATGCAATTTGAAAATTTCTGCTTCATTTGCATTTTCAATTTCCTTCATTTACATTCTTCTTTCAAAAGAGGAGACTACATTCCCTTTCAAAAGAGGAATGTAGTCTCGATGCACCCTAAAGGCTGTTAAACCCAGTTTCCCCTTTACGCTGCACAGCTCAGGGAGGGACTATGACATCTCTGAGCTCTCCATGCTGGTGGGGTGATTCTGCTGTCTGTCTGTCTGTCTGCAGTCTGTCTGGACACATATTCTCACAGCAGTGCCTGCCTGTGAAGCACGTTCTAGTCATAGCTTAGTATATAGACGGTAAAGCTGCCATCTTAAATGGGGGCAAAATGCAGTTGGTAACCATCCTATGACCCAGAGACATCTGCAGAGGGTAAGGAGAAAAGACCTAGGAATATAATTTATTTCCCAGTGAATAACTTGCAGTCTTATAGCCACAAAAGAATGGAAAGGCTGGGTAATCATTTGTACTACTAATGTCTGACTGTTGTGCACAGGAGGATACCCATGGCCAGTCACACATCAGTTCACACCTATTGTGGAGCCCAATCAAAATAGAACCACAACGTGGTCCCTAAGCAGTTCGGTTCAGCTGAAAAATCAAAACCACAAGCCATTTTGGATCCTCAGTCAGTCTCATTTCTCCCCAGAATCCAGGAACTTGCACCACTAATCATTTCTCGTAAGTTCAAGCTCCACGTTCTTTGTAGGTGCTGTGGGCCCTGTTCTGCTCTCACAAGCAACAGGACTCCTAAATGACTCCGTGGAGTTTCTCTGGATGGTGCTAATGTCCACCTGGCCCACTTGGCTGTGATTTTATTTCATGCTGGGCAAAAGGAGCTGAGAATCAAGTAGGGGGCTCAGAGTGGGAAGTCCCAGACACTGGGTGGAAGTCTCTGGAAGTTGTGGCAGTTGGTGACAGAAGCCAACGGTTGGGTGAAATCACAGTGAGCATGAAGCTGCTCAGGAATCAGCCTCCCCAGCTGTGGGGCACCGGTTGGGTTCTGAGGCTTAAAACCAATATTTGTTAATGCCAAATAAAACTAATGTCATGCGAAAGCATCACCGCTCTCCTTGTCCAGTCCCAGGTCTATGTATTCTGTAAAGCTCATTACATACATTGAAGCATTGCCAAATAATAATCAATAATCAAATTCTAACCACGTGTATGTTCTCACATGGCATCCAGCATCATGTTACCTGAACACCCCCCACTGATCAGAAAGATACAGTTCTCTCTCTCCCTAGCTGCCTGGGCAAAATGATTGGTAGACAAAGAACAGGTGTGGAGAAGGCTCCGTCATGGCTTCTCTTCCTGGCTTACTGCTGATTTGTAAAGGAACCTTGGTCAAGTACTGATCATTTCATAATCACAATTCTCTTGGGAAAGTAAATCCTTAGAACTCATACATTTTATTTTCGTACCTAAAGCAATCAAAAATATCAAACTATACTTCCTGTATATACATTAGAAATGTCAGGTAAACATCTCAGGATTTCTCAGAACATTTTAGTATTACAGAGCTGGAATTACTACTACATGTCCAGGATTAATTGCATTTAATTGGTAATGTGCACATGTGTCTCCTGTTAGCAGTTCTCTTGCTTAATTAGACGTTTTGACAGTCATCTGTTTCCTCCTGATAATGATGCCTCAATGCACACAGGCAGTTTTTGCGTATACTTTAGTCAGTCTCTGATTTACATATCTTTCCATACAGGATGCTTAATAAATTCTAAAATTCTTCCTGGTGACTATAAATCAGCGCTGCAGTTTTAACAAATTGGGTCAAAGAAATTGATCTAGAAGGAACATGATTTTACAAATGCATTTGCTCTGGCTGCTCTTTGCTGTGTTTGGAGGTAGGTAATTCAGCTCCCTTTGTTGAGTGAACTTCTTACCCATTATTTATATAAGAGTCCTCATTGTTTCAACTTCTTACCCATTATTTATATAAGAGATTCAAGGAAAGGGTTTTTTATTTCTCTCTTTTCCTAGAATCCAGCGGGCAGATCGTTATCACTCAAACACCCTCTTCTGTGACGGTGCTTCCAGGAGAGACTGAGCCATGATATGCAGTTACATCTGTTTAAATCGGGACAAAATCCCAAGCTCCTTATATATAATGGAAACAGCCGCTTCACTGGGGTCCCTGATCGATTCAGTGGTCAATACAGCGGCACTGACTTCACATTCACCATCACTGGGGTGCAGGCTGAGGATGCAGGAGAATACTACTGTCAGTAGGATTATACAACCCCGCTCACAGTGATACAACTCAGTGCAAAAACCCCCTTACTGCTGCAGTCTCTTTGGTGTGAAGCAGAAGGAAACAGCTTCAGTTGTTTCTAAGCTAGTCGATGTGCGAAGTTCCTAATGAGAATCATCCTTCTAGTGGAAGCCTCTATTGTGCTTTCAGATTAGTGGGTTTATTCCTCTACAATTCTTTCTGATTCCCGCTTCTGTATTAGGGGAGACAGGCACTGTACAGGAAGAAACTGAAGTATACCAGCCCAATCACACAGTCACATTAAATAGATCCCAACAATGTTTTTTCCCCTTAAAAATTGCAGTGAACTGAAGTATACCAGCCCAGTCACACAGTCACATTAAATAGATCCCAACAATGTTTTTTCCCCTTAAAAATTGCAGTGAATTTTACGGAAAATAAATAACTTCCCTCCACAGATATATTTCCATACCTTGTCGGCACTCTTCCAGTGCTGTGTAGAGAGTGTGATCTAGGGCTGTTGCCCTATTTAGTCCATTGTGCGGGACAAAAATATTTGAGTGACTTTTTGAGGGAAGAGCAAAAAAATGCTGATGTGGTGATGGTACTTAATCACTGATTTAAAACCTTTTCTGGAGAATGAGCATCCGAGGGAAACGATTGTTCATCTGAGAGAGCAGGTGTCTGTTAATAAGATCTCTTCTAATAACTAAGCTGCAGCAGACCATAACCTCTGGTGCAGTAATGGAGATACATGCCATATAGCTAACCACAGTACTCCCTTAATGTACCTGGAGTTTAACAATAATTTTAGCCTTTTTACCTCACTTTGAGCAAGTGCTCTAAAACTGTAATGTATTCATTTGCTTCAGTTCTAACCCTCTGAAGCGTAGCTCTATAAAGATCTTAAAGTTATTATGAAGTTCTGTGTTTTTTTAATTCATTGCAGCAGCATTACATGGGTACCTTGCTAAAAAATTGGAGCCGAGAGAAACTTATTTTAACATAAATGATCCATGCTGATCAAAATGTTGCTGTTTGAGCACACTGTGAACCACGGTAGCAACTGCATGTTTCAAGACATTAGCAGTTTAATGTAGGTACCCTTCCTGGTGTAACATTACTCTGTCGGGGGCTTGCTCTCCCCTACATGTCAAGTGTCTTTCTCCCTGCTCATTTTCAAAGGCTGGTTTTATTGTCAAGATCAGTTTCCTCACTGACTCCTCCCTGCAGACAGCTCTGAGCCCACAAAAGGGCTTTCCCCTTTAGTCCCAGGAGAGCGCAAGGGTGGCTGAGACTGTGGCTGCTGCCCGAGAGACCTCTCCTTTCTCAGCCCACTTTCCTTCTCATATCTCTGCCCTTGCCTACTGACTCGGAGCCTCTGTCATTGACTGTTCTCAGTGCAGGGTCTGGACCCGATAACCTATCCAGGTCCCTCTCAGTCTTACACTTCTACAATTACAATGATAACTGGAGCCAACACAACTATGTTCTTGTCAATGTTTCTCTAAGAAAAAAAGTATAAAGTTAATTTCTCTGCTTGCTAAATCCAGTTTTAAAACAATGTTCCATTCACCCTGGAGCTGCCTTTACATTTGTTTAAATGCTTTGCACATGGATCTTTGTGTTTCCTGTAGCTTGTCATCGTTTTTTCCCCATTTATATAGTGGGTGAGGCACTTTGCACTGCCTGGAGCATTGATATTTACTGCCTGGATCATTCGCTCTCTCACTCAGAGTATTTTACTCATATTCATTACCCAGGGTTGTTTGCATTTGAAGGATGAGTTTCCTTATTGGCTCCTCACTGCCCAGACTGCGCTTGCTGCCTAATAGAGAGAAGAGTCAGGATTCAGTTTCTCTCACTCTCAAATTTCTTCCCCTCCCCACATTCCCCACAGGACCTACCATTGACTGTACCTCCCTAAAGACTCCATCAAGTGCCTTCCTTCTGTTACTGAGCACTGCTGCATCCGGTGGTGCTGTGGATTCACTGTTCTGGGGATACAGTGGCGGGGAGCTGGGATTTTAGCCTTTTGAGATAGGAGACAGTGCTATGTACTATGATAATTGGAGCCAATACTACTATGGGGAAACAAAGTAACTGATATTTATGAAGAACCTCTCTAGTTTGTTGCTTAAATTAACCAATAATCAGGCAACTTAGTCCAGACTCACCCTAAAGGCCTTTGCAGCCTGGTTTCCTTGCACATAGCAGAGCTCAGGGCGGGGGGACTGTGACCTCTGAGCTCTCCATGCCTGTGGGGTGATTCTGCAGTCTGTCTGCCCCTCCTTCCGGACACATATTCTCACAGCAGTGCCTGCCTATGAAGCACTTTCTAGTCGTAGCTTAGTATAGAGAGGGTAAAGCTGCCATTTTAAGTGAGGGCAAAATGCAGTTGGTGACCATCCTGTAACCCAAAGGCAGCTACAAAGGGTAAGGGGAAAAGACACAGGAAAGTGATTTAGTTTCCAATGAATAAGGCGCAGTCTTATAGTCACAAAAGCATGGAAAGGCTGGGTAATCATCCGTACTACTGTCTGATTTTTGTGCACAGGAAGGTGCCCATGGCCAGTCACACATCAGTTCACACCTATTGTGGAGCCCAATCAAAATGGAACCACAGCGTGGTCCCTAGGAAGTTGAGTTCAGCTCAAAAATCAAAACCACAAGCCATTTTGGATCCTCAGTGGGGCTCCCTTCTCCCCGGGCTCCAGGAACTCGCACCTCTAATCATTTCTCGTAAGTTCAAGCTCCACGTTCTTTGGGAAGGCAACTGTTGTAGCTGCTGTGGGCTCTGTTCTGCCCTCACAAGCAGCAGGACTCCTAAGTGACTCCATGGATGTCAGTGGAATTTCTCTGGCTGTGACTTTATTTCACGCTGGGCAAAAGGAGCTGAGAATTGTGCAGGGGGGCTCAGAGCCTAGGTGGAAGTCTCTGGAAGTTGTGGCAGTTGGTGACAGAAGCTGACAGTTGTCTGAAATCAGAGGGAGTGTGAAGCTGCTCAGGAACCAGCCTCCCCAGCCGTGGGGCAGCAGATGGGCTCTGAGGCTTAAATAGACTGTTGGTGCCAAATAAAACTAACATTTTCCCTGGGTGCAGCCAGTGCCTAATCCCAGCTCGGGCTGGCACAGCCCAGTTGTGACCCAGGAAAACAGCACCACAACGGAGGAATCGGGGAGGCGAGCGGCCAGCATTGCAATTGTAGGTTTATCAGTGAACCGAAAAGGCAGTTGGAGCAGCCGCAACTGGTGCTGCCATGGGATACGAGGCTGCCCAGGAGACGGTGGTCATTACGGTGACTGTGTTACGGGCTGGAATGGAAGCCGACGCCGGTGCCCAGCGTGATCCCAGACAACAGCTGTTCCAAGGGGCAGCTGGGCAGGAGTTGCTGCATCATGTCCTGTATCTGGCCATGCGAGAGTGGCTGCAAGGAGTGCTCCGGGACGAGGCCACGCAAGAGGCGCTGTGCCAGGCCCTGCGCTGGGAGCTGGAAGGGTGTCTGCAGGAGGAAGCCCTGCAGGAGATGCTGCAAGACAGGATGCAAGAAGGTCTCCCTGGTGAAGCCATGGCAGAGCTGCAGCCTCTGGCCCTACATCTGCAGCTCTATTGGATTTGCCTGGTGGAGGTGCTGCAAAGGCAGCTGTATCGGGGCATGCGTCGGCAGCTTCGGATGGTTCTCCAGGACGAGGCTGAGCAAGAGCTGCTGTTTCAGGGCCTGCAAGAGAGGATACGGGAGCTAGTCCTCCAGGAAGCCCTGCAAGAACTGCGGCGCCAGGCCCAGTGTCAAGCAAGGCCCGGGCAGATGTGAGTGCTGCTTGGTGATGAAACCTTCCAAGAGATGTTGCCTATCGGTGTGTGTCTGCACTCAGCTGGTTCTGCCTGGGGAGCTTTCGGACACGCAAAACAGAGCTCCCGGGACTGCAATGGAACTGCACTGGGCTAAGCCGATTGGTTAGGCCCTGGATCTTATGAACAGCGCTGCTCTTTGGAGCAGCCTTGTCCTCCCGGCATGAGAACAGCTCTCTTCCCAATCAGACACAGAGGCTCAGTCACCATCCCCATAGGCAAGATTTCTAGCTGGCACAAAACTCCAATTATTGACAATTCCCGTTACCAGATTTTTCTTGGAAACCTCACAAAACAGATTGACACCAAGCTTCACACTGAGCAAGCCGGCGTAAAGAAAACGAATGCAGCAGATTCATCCATATGATGAAAATCCAATTTTTTTTTAAACTAAGCTAGGAGCATAATTCTTATTTCAGCAGGTCAGCTCCTCATATTGTATATGTCAGGGGTAGGAAAATTCAGGCCTGTGGGCTGGATCTGGTTCACAGGTTAGTCCCTGTGAACCTATATATTTACCTGTGCCTCAGCAGGTATTGGGTAATCACAGCTCTCATTGGCCACAGATCACTGTTCGTAGCCAAAGGGAGCAGCAGGAAGCTCTTTCCTGGTCCATGCCACTTCCCATTGCTCCCATTAGCCTCAAATGGCGAACTGCAGCCAACAGGAGCTGTGATAGATCACCAATGCTTGTTTTTGTATTGCTTATCCTTGGTATATGTAAAGGTAGCTCTGTTAAGGCGAAAGGACCTTAACAGAGCTACCTTTATTTTTAGCAACAGGATCTGCTTATGTTTTCATCAGCTACTACTGTATAAGAACCCTTGCCCTCTAGAGCTTTCAGCTGAGATATTTAAAATATGAGAGAGGTAACTCAGCAAAAATCTTTTCCATCTTTAATTTCTAATAGAAGAAAGTTTGGGCTATGATAGGGATGTAAAAAGCTTGGCTCAGGTCAGTGATGAACATCAGTACACTCTGTCATACTTTTATTTTCATTCCTCAAATCAAACATGTGTCACAGAAATAAAGTAGGGCTGTGGACATTGTACAAAGAAGCAATGTGACAAAGCTGAAAAGCTAACTGCTTATAAGTTTCATAAGAGAGTCCGTTTTCATTTTTTTTCTGGGCCAAGCTTGATTAAAATTCCAGATGCTCTGATGATCCACAAATACCAGCATATGCTTCAAAGACCATTTACATTTCTCAGTTGTTTTGTATATGCATCCCCTGCGTGTTATTTCCTGACCCCTCTAAGCAGGGATTATAAATCTGTCAGGCTGCATTTCAGATTTCACTGCAGAGCACTAAGCTCCAACTTAGTATGGCCAAAATGATTCTATATGTACAATTTTTCTTGATGTTGTTTTTCAAGATTCACAGTAGGATAATGAAAATATGAGCACTGGGAATGATGTATGGGATTAGGCACCATAATGTACATTACTGGTATGTCTAACTTCTAGAACATTTAAAGTACATTTCAGAATATGGTCAATTATGTTCATTTTCTTTCTGCTTCTAGACTGCAGCGGAGAGATAGCAATGACTCAGTCACCCACCTCCCTATCAGTCAGTGTAGGAGAAATGTTACTATCACCTGCAAAACCACTTCTAGCATTGATGACAACATAGTCTGGTACCACCAGAAACCTGGAGAAGCGCCAAAGCTTCTTATCTATGAAGCGTCTGACTATCACACAGGCGTCCCAGCCCAGTTCAGTGGCAGTGGCTATGGAACTGATTTCACCTTCACAATCAGCAAGGTTGAAGCAGTTGATGCAGGAGATTGTTACTGCCAGCAGTATGAAATCCGGCCTCTCACAGTGATACAGAGCAATACAAAAACTTCCCTGTGATGTGCTGTGGGCCTTGTCCTGGCCATCCATTCTATACTCAATACATGGAAGACAAGTCTTATTACAGATAGTTTTTGCAGTTAAATCTCATGTGAATAAATTTAAAAATGCAATCAAGTTCTCCTTTTATTCTGTAGCCTCCCAATAGGAATGTGGTTTCCATCCATTTTGATATCCTTATGCACATTTAGGATTGCAAACATGAAGGCTACATCTACACTGGCCACTTATTCCGGAAAATCAGCCGCTTTTCCGGAATAACTTGCCAGCTGTCTACACTGGCCCCTTGAATTTCCGGAAAAGCACTGACGATCTACTGTAAGAAATCAGCCACTTTTCCGGAAATACTATGCTGCTCCTGTTCGGGCAAAAGTCTTTTTCTAGAAAACTGTTCCGGAAAAAAGCCAGTGTAGACAGCACAGTAGTGTTTTCCGCAAAAAAGCCCTGATCACGAAAATGACGATCAGGGCTTTTTTGAGGAAAAGCGCATCTACATTGGCATGGACGCTTTTCTGGAAAAAGTGCTTTTCTGGAAAAGCATCCTGCCAATGTAGATGTGCTTTTTCCGGAAATACTTATAACGGAAAACTGTTCCGTTTTAAGCATTTCCGGAAAATCATGCCAGTGTAGACGTAGCCCAAATGTCTAAAACAAACAGGATGCAAGTATCCACGCTACTTAATAATTAGGCTATATTATAACTTGTTTAACCATGAAAAGTATAACACATCTATTGTACGGGAATGAATTTCTTCAGAGCATAGTGAAATCATACAGTTATGAACAGTAATCACTTCTCTAATACTGTTATTATTAATGATTATCCCTCAGTATTACGTCAGAGGAATATTTTCAAAGTTAAGCCTTCACAACATACAGGATCTTTGAGCATAAAAAGTGTCCAAAATGTATCCCCATAACTTACTAGTAAAACTTGACTGTCAAACTGTCTGACAAAAAGTAGTCCGGTGGCACCTTAGAGACTCACAAATATATATGTGCTCTTCAGATAAGATGATGTTGAGTGGAGAAAAAAAAAGGGACTCTCAGAATAGGAAGGGAGAGGGAGGAAAAAAATTATCTGTTAGTTGTAGTCCTGGTGCTAATGATGCTGAGTGGGATGGAAGTGTCCCATACTTAGCTTTTGATGTCAATGGGGTGACTTTTAAACTGTCTGTCAGGAGCATGAATGCAACTTCAGGGCCGATTGTTAAGAAGCAGGGCACAAACCACAAATTGGCTAACAGATGTATTGGAGCATAAGCTTTCATGGCCAAAGATCCACTTTGTCAGATACATCTGACAAAGTGAGTCTTTGCCCACGAAAGCTTATGCTCCAATACATCTGTTAGTCTATAAGGTACCACAGGACCTTTTGCAGATCCAGACTAACACGGCTACCCCTCCGATTCTTGACACACATTGGCTGTGACTTCTATACTGAAATGTCACCAACCAAAGTATCCAGGGTACATTCCTCAGGCACAACAGCAGCCCAAACATGGAGTCACAGACAGTCCCCAAGGGCACTTCTATCAATCTTGCTACCCATGTGAACATACCTTTGTGATAGATGGTCCCTTACACCAAAAATCACCACAATATTCAGGTTGTTCCCAGTCCCAAGGGATCAGTCACTTACCCGAGGTCAACTGCACCACAGCACTTACACCAAAAACAACACTTATAGTTGAACCTATAATATAGTAGCTAAAGATTTATTCACTAGGGTAAAGGAAATAAGAGAGTTACCAAGAAGGCTATGGCAGGTAAAAATATATAAACTAAGGTTAAGGCAGGTTCCGATCTTAGGTTTCATCAAAAAGTCTTTTTTATAGCAATTCTGTCAAGGCCCACTAGATGGCAATAGAAAAACAGAGCACTTTGGGAATGGAGATGTCACTCAAACAACAGAATGGTGTTTGTTTACTATTAGCCAGCTATGAACATAAAAATGGCCAGACTGAGTCAAACCAAAGGTCCATCTAGCCCAGTATCCTGCCCTCCGACAGTGGCCAGTGCCAGATGCTTCAGAGGGACTGAACAGAACAGGGCAATGTACAGAGTGATCCATCCCCCATCATCCAATCTCGGCTTTTGCCAGTCAGAGCTTTAGGGACACCCAGAACATAATGTTGCCCCCGATCTTCTTGACAAAGGGCTATTTATGGATCTGTCCTCCATGAACTTATCTTATTCTTTTTTGAACCCAGTTATGCCTTTGGGCTTCACAACATTCCCCTGGCAACGAGTTCCGTGGTTTGACTAGGTGTTGCCTGAAAAAGTACATCTGTATGTTTGTTTTAACCCGGCTGCCTATTCATTTCTTTGGTTTATCCCCTGATTCTTGTGTTATGCGAAAGGGTAAGTATAAAACAGTATAATAGCTACCCTCTCACACAGTGATACAGACCAATACAAAAACTTCCCAGGGTGTTTTGCGCTACCCGCTTGTTCTACAATGACTATGTGGAAGGCACATGTAGCACCCCCAATTCAGCTTCAGATATGCATGATCTAAAATAATTTTATCACCTCCTTTTTTTTCCTTTTTACATTTCTGTTTGTGTGTCTTCCCCGAGATACTCACATTACAATGCCAGGTTTAATTTGTTTTTCATTATAGTTAGATTACTTATATGAAACTTTTAGAATGATGATGCACGTATCTAATATGTTTAACAATCAACTTGCAGCAGAGGTAGATTACAGTAGAAATTGCTATGAAATTTACAACTTTACCCTCTTTTGCGTAAAAGGAAGTGCTTCAGCCAATCGGAGCTCAGGGATGTGATACAGTGACTGGACTGACATACATCTGTCCTCTTTAGCCAGCTGACCAACTGATCTGCTCCTCTAGCCTATGAAAACTCTCAGGATCACTTGTGTAGAGATAGGAGCTTTCCCCATAGGCAGTCCAGGCATATGGAATGAGCCCCTCCATTTATTGACCTTGCCTTTCCTAACATCCACAGGGCTGCCAATGGGAGGACAAAGGGGGTGAATGCCCTGGCCCATTAAATTACCACTGGAGCACCCCCCACAGAGCACTCCAGGTGGTCCTGAGGGCTTGGGGGAGTGGGAAGTAGCACAACCCAGCCTGTCCTGACGCTGCTGAGGCCTGATTGAAGCCAGCCCTGCCCCTTCTGCCCAAGGTTTTTCTGGTCACGTGGAGCCAGGCACCTTGCCCAAGGACCCATCAATTCTGTCATCTCCCCTGAACATAAGCGCACAACAATCTGTATTTTTAAAAAGGAAAAACCCTGACCTACCACCAAAACAAGACGCTCCTCCACTCTGCACATTTCCCCCTGGGAGAGCAGATGAAAGAACAAACCATCTGTAACACATGTGTAGTGATATTGTTTCATGCACTACTGGATGCTGCTCTGGTAACAAGTGCAGCATAAGAAGCTCCATAGAACAGAACAGCTCCCATTTCCTGCCCCTCCCACTCCAACAGCTGGGCTGTAGTTAACTTAAGAGAAGGAGGAATCAGGCTGATTGTGAAGTGCCCTTCAGAGGGGCTGCCCTGTTGCTCTTTTAACACAGATTCCTCTTTCCCCTCAGAGGGGCTGAGGCTATAGTTAGGGATTTGGACAAAAACACACAAAAACACACCCTGGGCTAAATTAGATCTTCTTTAATGGGTCTGGGTGGGAGCCCCACACTGCACAGCTGAGTGCTCAAAGCTGCTCATAGGATCATAAAATTCTGCTGAGTTTCTGTGCTGAAATCCCAAACTGAACATCATCATGTGGGCTTGAAAATTGGCTCCATAACATTAAATGAATATTTAAATGCAGAACTACACAACTAAGAGAGGTAGAATAAAGAGATGCCAGAGATGATACAGTACCACACTCCCCAGGGAAATGCACTAATTAAGCTGAGTAGTCCTTTGGCTAATGAAATTGTGTGGTGAAAATCTTGGGTCTATAGTGGTCATATGATGACTAGCCATTGGGGATACCTGCCGCACCCCTATGGTCAATAATACCCATGTGATTTGTGATCATTTCAAACTATGTAACCAACAATGAACAAATCACTCAATTAGCAGGGGCCCTAATTAACTAGATATTTTTCCTCTTGTGTTATGTGCACACCTTTCCCTTTAAGTAATTAGTGAGAGATGTCAGATTAAAAGCACAGAACTAGAACTTAGCCCCTGCATCAACTCATGAACTGTAAAGATGTCATTCTGATTGGATCCACTCAATACAACTAGAAACACACAGACACACACAGACACACACACACACACCACACAACTAGAAACACACAGACACACCAACCAACAATATTGTCAGAAAAAAAGTGTTGTCTTTGCCCTGCAAAATACATCCATTGAGACAACAACAGAGAAGATACATAATGGTCTAAGCCAGGATCTTTGCTAGAATCCCTTTGCCTGGATCAGTGGATAGTTTTGTGCCATATCCCTACAACACTTATCTAAAGTGGAAAGGCAGGGGACTTGATGCCCTTAGAGAGAGTAGATAATTTGATGAAGTGGGGAGAAGAACACAAATGCCTGCCCAAAAAGCAGGAGCCCTGTGTTCATTAGCAATAAGTGATGTAGCAGGCAGAGTGCCTGCCCAAAAAGCAGGAGCCCCTGCTATTAGTGTTCATTAGCAATAAGTGATGTAGCAGGCAGACGATAGAGCTGTAGGAAAGAGATTTTTGTTCAACATGCTGAGTGGCCAGTGTCACATGCAAAGGCTCTATCTGGCAGTTTTGCCTCTAATTGCTTTCCTGAGCCTCTGATTTCACCAATGGCTCTTCCTCAAACTGGACACTTCTCTTCCAGTTCTACTCACCTTGCTGGGAGGTTTGTTTTGATGTTTTGCTATAGCAGGTTAGGAAACCAACAGCCATTGGAGGAACAAGCAACCTGGTCTCTGAGTGCAGTTCTCCAATCCGTCCTTATGCCAAGGCCAGCCACAGGACAAGCTAACCATCAGTCAACAGTGTGACACTGTTGCAAAAAAAAGGAAACATTCTGAGAAGCTCACAACACTCTTGATAGTGCAAGATACGAGTGAGAAATCATTCTTCTGCTCTACTCCTCACTGATTAGGC